CATTTCCCTCTTTGGAGCAATACGTTCTATTATTATCTATTAACAATTTAATCATCAATTTTATCGACAATTTAACCAATTACATGATAAGGGAAAATATATCTCTATATATCACGCGTCAAATATTTATATCGCGTTAATTTTAACGAATCGAGCTCATGGCACACGGTGCTCTTTTTCGCGCTGGATGTATGCGAGCACCAGAATTGTGTGACTAATCGTAATTTGGAGAGATCGAAGAATTGTGCCAGGTCGTCGTGATGCTCGCGCGCGATCCATCACGAGAGGAGAAGCATGTCGTATGTCGCGGGCTTTAGATCCGATAAAAGGCTACTACGCCTGTCGTATTGTTCGTGTTTCTTGTGTTTAATCATTCTGCGGTGCGGTTGATCGTATTTTATATCATACAATGATACACTTGTGAGAATCGTAGCGTGTATAATTAATTACTTATCGTCTTTAAATTTTAACGACACACCGTCGAGCGTCGATGGGCCTATCCTGCTCTTATCGTTGACGAGGAAATCTATATTATGTCTGTCTTAAATTTTACATCCTAGTCATTCGTACACATACATATTTGTGTATATATGTGTATTTATAATAATAATAATATATATATATACATGTGTGTTATAATGCACATAAGAAAATAAATATATACACATGTTTACATACATTTCTATAACCAAAGACACGAAGAGAGAAAACAGAGACGCGATTTTTATCTCATCTAGTCAAATTCAAAGAGTTCAGTACTTAATTAAAAAAGAGGAATGTGCATTTTTTCTGTTCAGTCGATCAATCAATTGCTTTGCTTTCATTACATTGTCGATCCGATGATAGATCGGACCCGCGCGAATATCTACGCGATCGTGGTAAAAATTGTCAAAAAATTGAACTCTGTCATTTTTTATTTAATTTTCGGGAATCGTAAGAAAAAATTACAAGTACAAATTGACTCATTTGAATTTTACATTGTAAGGAAATTTACTTATGTACACGTTTGCTGTTTTTAATTTTAGTACTTCAAACATCACAACATATATACATACTTCAATTTATTCTACATCATTTTACATCACTAATAATATTTTTTAGTTATATTTTATTTATGTATATGCACTTGTTTTATTTTCGTGGCGACGACAATGCATACTTACCAAGTGCATCACTTTTATCACGATCAATGAAAAGCAGCGTGCCAAAACGATATTCGATTAGTTATCCAGTGCCATTATTGTTTAGTTTTAAACATGTTGAGCTTGTTTTTACAAATGTTTTGACATTAATTTTAACAACGCTTCAGTTCAACGAAAATTTATTTTCAGTTCTGCTGATCTTTTCCGTAGGTAACGCATGCGTTACAGACATAAGGTGTGTGCGTGTTTTACGAATCCTTGCGCAGACAAAATAGCTGCGCAACAATAACAAAATTTTAATTACAGAATAAGGAGATCGATTATACAATTTATGTTCATGATATTATGCATACTCACATGCTTTATGTTCTTAACGTTCTAGAGACTTGCCAAATATTTAATATATTCGTAGTTTATTAAGTTGTTTAATTTTATAATCTTAAGAATAATTATATAGCACTGTACTATATATTTGGTTTCTTTATTTTGTTGTCGTTATTGTTTGTTCTAATTTTTTTATCAACTCTAATTTCACGATAGCTTTAAACAAACTAATAAATTTGTTTCGTCTTATTTACCGAGTCTTGTCGATAGTCACGTCTATATATCTCCAAATATTTTAAATTAATAACACATGTGTGTGGTGATAATTATGCTATTTATTTGAATGTATTGTACTACACTGTTCATAGAATAGCGAATAAAGTAAAAGGAATATATATAAAATCCATAAAACACAGTTGTGTACTTACAATTTATTTGTACATATTTTACAGAGTTTTGAAGATATGAAAATTACGTATATTTATATTACGTATATTGTTAAACAATAATCCTTTTGTGTATTCATGAACTTTGTGGACAGTATTAACATGTCAACATAGTTTTACACTTTAGGGAGAGAAGCGTTCGATCGTTATAAAGTGACTATCGGTAATTTACGAATAATTTTACAACATAAAGAGGCTATTTTTTGTTTTATCATACAATTATCAATACAATGATCTCTTTTTCGAGAACAATGTTCGCCAGGAACGCATACCAAAATCGTGAGATAAAGTGCAAATGTACAAATCGATGCTAGTTAACGACAAGATAATGTGGACTCAACTTAGTGCAATTATGTCTAGTTCAGTTGCGTAGGGTGGATCTTACTTGGAGTTGAATTCTGGTTCTGTGCCATGATGCAATGAGACAGAGGCTGATATAGAAAACGTTTTGTTAAATTATGCAAAATGTAGGTTTTTTTAAACAAAAAACTTTAGTAATCATAAAATATTGTTTTATATTAAGTTATAGGTTTTACTAAATATGACAAGTCGAAATAATAATATTTACTTCATTAAAATAAATTGAATTTTCTAAATGTTTTTAGTTAATATAAATTTCCAAACTGGCTTGTGTTAAAATTGCATAATTTGAACTATACGTTTGATTATGTTGAAATGCTGCACAATGCATGGATTATGGTTTAAACATTGTTAACTTATGTTTTTATGTAAAATTTTCTTTTACATTTATGATATTGTATAGTGTCGCTTTGTTTCAAATTATTTTTAGAACTATAAAATTTTATATATGTACACATAGTATACATATATATATATATGTCTACATATATATTTAAACGCGTTTTATTTATATACTTATTTATACTCATATATGACACGTACGTGCGTCGTATATAATTAATCGAATGACTGTATTCAGTCGTGTACACAAAAAAAAACGAAATATTACTTTTTTACGGAAAGCAAATATGCACATTCCTCGGAAGAGCGACGGAAATGCGAGATAAGTACAAGAGACCGCCAATATATATAATATTGTTCTAGACACAAATTGATATTCCCTTAGTTGATTATTTATAAAAGAGGAAAAAGATAAAACCTATATATGTATACATAAAAATATATATAAAAGAATTTATAATATATATATAAATATTATATATATATATATGTGTGTGTGTATATATATATATATATATATGTATGTATATATATATATATGTATATATACATATATATATATATATCATTACGTAATCCTATGTTTTGGCTTATTCAGGCTAATAATGTAAGTGGACATATGTGTGAATAAAGTTGAAAAAAATATCACTTCACATAATAAAATGAGACTCTTCTTTCCTTCTCGTGAAAATCCGGCTTGCACGTTATTCGGTTTATCGCTTGAACCATTTCATTATATGTATAATTTGTACTTATATTTATTTTCTTGCACATATAAACATACACACAAAACTTACACCGACTTGCGCGTAAAATATTCGGATAATCGAATAAAACCGCTTCACGCTTTTGTTCACGCAATTATACACGTGTCAAAGAGTGAGTGACGCTAAAAGTCAGCTAAAGAGTCGCAGCATTGCACCTCAACACGTTCTAATTCTCCGTCACGTAATTCAGTCAACTGTTGCAACTGTGAATCAATGCAAGTACATCTACTTAAGAATGGTAATCACAATGCAGGCCGAAACAACAGAAAGGAACACAGTAACAGAAAGGAGATGTGGTAAGAGATTGAAAAAATTCCGTTTTAATTTCTCGCGACCAGATTCCTAAAGGGCTATGTGTATTTTTACGGAACGGAATATTCTACAACTCTGCAAAGAACTTCTTTCCGTGTGGATATATGTTTCGTTATTTCGGTCTGCGTATAACCGCGGTTCTTTATTACACATTGTGCTAACTTTGTTCAGTCGACGCATCGGCATAATAATGATCACGTCGACTTTATTATTCACGGTATAACTATAATTATGTTTGTTACAGTATATCTGCGATGTATCATACTGATGTTACTTGTAATATGTTGTAGGCGATATTGGTGCACTTGTGAATGTATATGTTTTTACAAGCAAGATTGGGCAGAAAACAAATCTGAGTGTAACGTAATTTACTGAATTAATTATTAAATTAATCAGGAGATGAGATTAGAATTATTAATTATAAAACATGATTACTCTCTTTCTCTCAGTCACACACACATACACACACATAATTTTGATTTAAAATTGTAACAATTGCTGCCCAAAACTGCTTTTAAGAATAAAAGCTGAGTGATGATAAAAAAGCGATCTCGTGCATGAGTCGAACAGTTTGACTGTCGTACTGTGTATAGTGATGACTGAATTTGACAATTACCATTGAGAGAAAGAGAGAGAGAGAGAACTGATCGAAAAAAATAATTTATACATATACACTTCGAGGAGGATCATCAGTCGATCGCGCGCTCTTCGGGGGCGTCCTACCTGACGCCTGCTAACACATCGGCCAATACAGTGCACGTTGACCTCCCACACAAATTCCAAGGATTTCCAATAATAATAATACGCGTTCCTCGACATTTTGGAGCAGCAAATTGCGCGAGATTTTAACCCTTTACCTGCAAGAGTAATCTCACCCCGATTTCCCACAAGCCTAACAAGATAAACAAAACTTATGTGACTTTTTAAATGACGAGGGTATAATAAAATACAGATTTATTAACACACGATCGGAAATTCTGTTTAGCAGAAAATTTCGACACGATAAACTTGTGACCTTAAGTGACGTGATTAAGTTCCAAAAATAATTTGATATTATTCGTACACAGAGAGACAAGAGATAAAGGGTTAAAGTTCGCGGATTTACGGTCCTTATATATGTGTTATCAGAGTCTTACTAGTAATCGACTGACGATCCCCTCGCAATGGATGGCCAATGTTAACGTGTCATTATCTCCTTCTCCCGATCGTCCCTCTTCCTTCGTCTTTGTCTCTCTCCCTGACTGTGATTCCGTTGATAATTGATGATGAGGAACGGCGGGTCACGTGGCTGTGTTAATGTGTTGCAGGGGGGGTGGGACGCAATCGGAAGCACGTTGGCGATACAACCGGTCAGGCGGTGATGCAGGGCCCGGGGCGTTTTCCGTGTCGACTCTGCGGAAACGTTTACAGGCACCTCGCCTCGCTGACCCAGCACCTCGAAGTGCATCGCAACCAGACTACATGCATCGTCTGCCACACCACTCTCAGTCGTAGAACCGACCTGCGGCGTCACATGCGTCTGAAACACCAAATACACAACCCCTGGCAAAAAATCCACAGGCAGCGCAGCCCGAAAAGCGAATTGGACTCATAGACACATCGCCGCATCGCATACTCTCTTTTATCTCTCGAGATTATAGATGTCAATCGATGATCGCCGCTTGTTATTGAACGCCCGAGCGATGTCGCTTCTTGCTCTCAGTGGTATTTTCGTGCGTTTGCTTGATGCGAGAGATATATATATATATATATATATACCTACATACATATATATGAGTGCTCGCGCACCATGTACCGATCGCGGCGATATCTCGTCACCTTAATACTACATTTGAATCTCTTCCATGCCGTGTAATCTCGAGTAATAATTTCAAGCTACGTGATTTTAAAACTTTCTTCTTTATAAATAGAGAAGAAATATCGAGACATTTTGATTTGAAAAGTTTATTTTCTGCACTGAATGTAGGAGGAAAAAAAGATGTACTGTATCTATTTTTAAATTTTAGATCGATACATTGAATTAGTAGTACCTACTCAGGAAAGTATTGTACTCTAGGCTTGATGGTAGTGTTAAGATGACGATCGCGCGTCCGATCCCACATATTCTCGGCATTTTTTTGATAAAGGGATGTGACCCTTCGTGAACGCGAGAGACTCTCGCAGAAAGTAGAACATACGCGCCTCTTAGCTTGCTGACGCCTGGTAATGTGTGCAAGCGTTGAATCCCTCTCTCGAGAAGTTTCCTCGAAAATTTATATTATTAAGTGATACGTTTTGCTGTTTTATTTAAACAAAATCTTTGCAATTACCAAACATTCTTCTGGATAAGTAAGAAAATAAAATTCACACAGTTGGACTCGACGGGATAAAAATACGATGCAGGACATTAACCTTGCACTTTTCCGCAACGTCCTTCTTTTTTGTTGTTTAAATTTTAATTGTTGTTCACGCGAACAAATTTAGTTCACTGTGTGAAATGCTACGTAGTCTATGTTTTAATTCAATCTAAGATTTATAAGTCTGAGACACGCGTTAAAACACGATGTGGGATTTCTTTGTCGAATTATTATCTAAATCTCTCTATAACTGAAAATTTTTGTTACGCATCTTTGCTGATGACGCATTTAGACGCAAACTCGCAAAATTGGCGATTTGTTGCAAATTCGTTGCAAATTAACTCTAACGAGTGTAAAAGAAGATGAATAAAATCGGGGAGCAAATTGAAATTAAAAACAAAAAAATCTCGTATTTAAAAAAACTAAAAATGAGAAAGAAACTATGCTTAAAAAAGACTAAAATGTATGTAGTTTGATTTAGAAGTCCCGATTTTTTTCATCCACCGTAATCTTACAGAATGCATCTGATGTAAATGGCAATGTTCAATTATATTTATATGAAGCTTCCGCTTTATTTTCGCAAAACATAGTTTTATTGCTGTGTATTTGATGCACTCTGTATGATATTTTTTCTCGCTAAAAAGTAGTGAATAGTCGCGCTTCAATTTGATTTTGCAAAAATCCGATCGAAGCAGAGAAACGCATTGCGTTTTCTTTTGATCGGTTTCATTATTACGACCACGCGATTGTTGGCCCATTTAGATGCGTTTTTGTGAGAAAAATTGATGTGTCTAGCTTTGCTGTGTACGCGCGCGTATTTATCTTCGCTAAGTGTGCGTTAACGCATGTTGGCGATTGTGTTACTATTTGCGCAAATTCGCGTTTTAGGTGTTTAAGAGGTGAGATTTAAGGATACGTGTTTAAGGATCTGAGTATTGTATACGTCACAGATGAACGGAGGCGACTCTGTCGCGTGGCCTCCTGTCTCCACAGAATAAAACAAATCTGAGGTTTTAGTAAGATTTTTCTTGCAAAAGAAAATTTTTCAATTATACGACAATTTTATCTACGACGCCAAGAAACACTTGAGCGCGTAGTATATCTCGCGTATGCATAGTCTTCACAAGAACAAGTAGTGTAAAGTTTTGTATTTTTGTGTGGAATTTTGCTATGTGTGGAGTCGCCTCTTCTCTGATTAATTAAATCAAGTGGTCTTGAAGGATTCTAGTCATTATTGTACGGAGCATCAAACTATCGAGATCTCTATCGCTCGTTCACACAGACTATAACGGATTGTGAAGTTATTTTTTTATACTTCTCGACGCACATATTTGGGAGGGGACTTTCGTGCGGAGCTATGTCCTGCGACATAGCGGATATCGCTCCGCAATATCGTACTCCTCTGAATCCGCAACCATGACCCCCTCAACACATTACACGGACTCTGTTTACACGTTTACATACGCCATGTGCCGAAGTTCCTTTGCGAACGATTCTCAGGCTCGATGTACACAATTTATTTGCCTTCGAGAAAAAAGATTTCAACGTTCGATATTATTAACAATATCTTCGATATTGAAACTTTTTATCACTGAAACGTATTCTATGTTATGACGTCGTTATTTGTGCTAGAACTGATGAAAATGTACGATGCCCATTCTTTATTGAAGTAACTTGAGATTCTTTATTTTTGATTTGATTTCACAATTTCGTGAAATTGATTTCGACGAAAATTTGGTCGTAAACTGGTAATTTGATTTTCAGCGCAAATAGTTGAAATGTGCACATCGAGTCTTAGCTTCAGCTGTCGAGACAGCTCATAGACAGTGCCTTACACAAATGCCTGGTTTTACATATTTTACGTATTGACATCTTCAGATGTTTACCATAGACAAGAGTATATCTAGCGATGCGGAGCATCCGGAAAGTAGCCGTTAATTCTGTTACTGACCTCGTGTAAACATTGTCTGTATGAAAGCGCGAAAGCAGCGTTTCTCAGCGTCACAAACGGAGATGTTATACATTATCTTCTATCTACATAATATTTTACTGTAACCTTTTCGAAATTAAATTCTGAAATACATTCTGAATACTCCCCCTTAAATCCAGACACATCATTATGTACGATTTTATTTACAAACAGAAAGTTAGTTATTTTTTAAGATTAAGTAATATGTCCTTCATTTCTTTTTTTATTTTTTGTCATTTTTTTTAAGTCTAAATAAACTATAATAAACTAAGACAGAGAGAGAGAGAAAGAGAGAAAGAAAGAGAGAGAGAGAGAGAGGAAGAGAGAGGAGAAGCGCTGGTTTCCGTCTGCAAACTGCGTCATATGTATCCAAAGAATCTGATGAATACGATACGTCGCCGTTACCGTTGTTGTTGTTATTGAATAAGTATCTACATATACAGGAGCGCGCGGCGCGGCGCGGATTTCGAAAGCGGGGATATATCTTTATTTTAGCGAACGCATTCAAGAGTATTGCAACAAGTAGTACAATAACTGGTTACGATGCGCCACACACACAAACACACACACACACACACGTGCGAGCATTTCGTTTTTGTTTTCGAGAGTGACATCGCACTTGCGCACCTGACTATTTACTCGTAGGATAAGTGATCGTAATTATAGTTGTTGATCGTAGCACGAGAAGCCGCATCATCGCGTTCAGAGAGAGCGGATGCCTCATTTTAACTCATTAACTGCCGTGTTGGAGTGCTGTTAGACTTACGCTGTGCGAGATGGCAGTTAATTATGTTTCAAAAACTTATATTGAGATAGAATAGAAACGACACGTAGTTACTATTTTCGCGATAATGGCTGGCACTTAATGAGTTATTACTTAATGCATACGCTTGTACGACAGCATTAAAGAATTGACCGTGTCGCGAAAACTGTAAACCAGGGATTTTCAAACTTTGTTAAAATTTTCGAATTCAAGTCACTTTATTTTAGTTTTTTATTACAAACGTTACTTGCATATGAACGATACAGTGATTTTACGAGTGCTGTAAATGTTATGCAAATCAATCTTAGCTTTTCATTAGCAAAAAATTTTGGAAAATCAGACAAGTATGTTTTAAGTTTTGAAATTTTGGTACAAGAAGAATTTTTAAACGATTGTTTAAACGAAGTTGAAGCTCTCTTATTACAGACGTGTAGCGACATGTGTATTGTGAGAATAAAAGTGTGCAGAGTGAGTACACACGAAAAGAATATTAAAAATTACGTAAAAACAGAAACACAAAAGTCTCGATAGAAAATCTTCACTGGCCAACAAAACAAAAGAACGTCTCGATAAGACAAATGCGAAGATGAAAAAAAGATTAAAATTCGATAGGAATACAAAACTGCTGAAACGCATAAAACGTAGAGTCACCATTCTAGCGAGCCGCAGTGAAACATGGATGAGAAAACTTTCGTTCTTACGAGAAACTTTATGGCCGTGTCTACAGTATATAGACATGTTCAAAGTTCAAGTTTCAATGCAAAGATTCCGGTAATTTAGCATCTTTAGAAAAAGAGATGTAATGTTTAAAACATAAACAAAAGCTGGTTAACCCTTCAAGGCGCAATTTTTCAAATCGTTTTTCGAGGAATCTCCGTTTGGAAAATTATCTACAAGACAACTATTTTTCCGAGGGTGACAACAAAGATTACCTATTTTCTTTAGGCCTGGAAGGGTTAACTTCTCTGTAGAACGAAGACAACGGATACGTGTAGTCGCAAGTGAAGTTTAGAACTTTTAACTGTAGATATCGTGAGACACACACACTGTGTCGGTAGAGCACGAAACATTGCGTTCTATTCAGGTATGTTCGGTATCATAATTGTGAGCTTGTAACTTATATATAATTAAAAATTTGTGTAAGACTACGCTTTCAAATGTTGTCGCAGTAATGTAAATAAAACAGATTTCTGATGGGCTCGTGTATCAAATGTCAGTTTAACAACAATTTTCACAAATCATTTACCTTCCTTTATAATTTCTTTTCTATATTGTTTCATTCTTTTTAAATTAAATTTTACTGATTGATAATAAACTTGGTTCTTGAAAAACATACAATGAAAGCGATTATAGCCGATGTCATTGTAGCAGTTTTCTTCAATAAAAATTGAAATTTAAACAGTTCTAAATTCAGGTCAAGCTGAGAAGCCGCAAGATAATGATCCATCAGGATTTTTACAGAATATTATTAAAGGCAAGTATAGATAAATAGAAATTGCTTCACTTCTTGTAATCTCGGACTTCACAAATAAAAAGAAAATTGCAAATTGCACGACGAAGCTTCAAGTATGAATGTCGAATAAACGAAGCAAGATAATTTAGAAACAAGGAAAAAAATAAAGTTAGAGATTGATAAATTTTGCACAAATCTCTTCTCTTTTTATTTTCTCACATTAACTTTTATAGTAATTTCTTCAAAATTATTTGAGTTAAAAAGTTTTTCACTTAATAATGAAGGAACAAGATTTTGCTATTTTACTTGCTGTTTAACTTTTATTGCACGTTAACGCATACATAGTACTTGTCGATTTTACACATGTTTGATATACATATATTCGCCAATATATTGAAAATTTATATATATATATATATATATATAATTTATATATATAATTTTCGATATATATGTACAATATTGGTCTCGGTGTATATAGAATCTATTTACAAAATCCGAGGAATGCATTTATAGACTCGTTGAAGATGACGACGCCAACCAGGACCATCCACTCGCCATCGTGCACCAAGTGCGGAATTACGTTTACAACACAGCATGCTCTTCTGCGACATATAACATCCAAGCATGAAGACTCACCTAATACTGCAGCCTACTGCAATATCTGCAATCGCGTCTTTAAGACCAAGTGGAGTCTGGCAACGCATAATAGCAGATATCACAGAATTGATCAGTACATCATCGACAAGATGTAGAATATTAATCTAATATATATCTCGCATTTCGCAATATTTTTCTCTAGTATTAATCAATTAAAGATGGATTTCACATTAATCAAGTGCTTTATTTCTCTATCTGTAATTGTAACGTGTGTATTTAAATTAGTTTTATTTATTCACATATCAAAAGATTCTATTTATACATATATATATATATATATATATATATATATATATATATATACACACACACACACACACACACACAGTGTCTTGTAATTGCCGTACAATCTCTCGTGGGCTGGTAGAGAGGATCATATTGAGAGTCAAAAAGTCTTTTACCATCTTAATTAATAGATCTCGGTAATTATTGCAAATCTTGCAAAGTGATAAAAGACTTTTTGACTCAATATGATCTTCTCTACCTGCCTATCAAGAGATTGTACAGCAATTACGGGACACCCTGTGTGTGTGTGTGTGTGTACAGGGTGTCCCAGAATTGGTGTGACATCTCTTGTAGGCAGGTAGAAGGAGTAAAACTGAGTCAACAAGTCCTGAACCATTTTTTTCTATTATTTATAATAAAGGAGTAATTGTTGAGTAAATCAGGCCAATCAGCGCCGACCTTTAGTCAGGCGCATGTCAGTGAACCGCGCGGAGCGCTTACACACACCAGGCGCGTGACATGCGCCTGGCTAAAGATCGGCGCTGATTGGCCTGATTTACTCAACAATTACTCCTTTATCTATAAATAATAGAAAAAAATGGTTTAGGGCTTGTTGACTCAGTTTTACTCCTACCTGCCTACGAGAGATGTCACACCAATTCTGGGACACCCTGTATATATATTATATATATATATATGTATAATTATATATATGAATATATATAATTTATATTTATATATTCATATTTGCTACAAAAAGCAAACTGTATTGATAAGATAGATTGCACAATTGAAACGCAATGTTCTCTTTAGTTTGAAAATTTATCGCTTGAAATTTCGCATTGTAACATATTCATTGTAAAGTGTACCATGTAATAGAACAATAGAAAAAAAGATAACGATGAGATCACGAATATATTATTATTACATTTCAGTACATGAAAAAATTGTTATTGAATAGAAACATACTTTTTATTTAAGACTAAAGTGTTTTAGTAAATATTTATTTAAATTTTAAATTATATGTAGTGTGTATGATCCTACGTTATTCTTACACATAGAACAACATAGAACTTGTTCTCAATACAAGCGTAAATGAGCATACACCAGTAACGAATATAATTTTGTTGATTTTTTCCTTGGTGTGGTCTCACAGTTCTTTAATATTTTCGCGTTCATTTATAGATGAGGTGAAATATTGTAATTGCAGCCTCCTCTCAGTGCAAGTACCAAATGCAGCACAGAACCACCCTGGACTTTATAATCTTGCGCCGTTTTCTCATCGTTCCTAAAACAAAAATATTTTATCCCAACTCCTTGATATATCATTTATATTGATCAATTACATCTACAATTTTCTATATAAAGACTTTTTGCAATAGAAATTGTAATTTGTACAAAACTTTCAAACTTATTCCGTTTATAAAAACTGTTTTTGTTTATGATGATATTGTATCTGTACAGTAAAAGCTATGAGGATATCAATTCATAGAATACAATCATACATTTTGTATTATATGATAATACTGGTACATACATCTGTTTACCGGAAAATATTAATCTCTGCTGTTGCGGTGGGATTCCTTCCTTTTCTTCCACCCTTTCTTTAATTCTCTCTACTTTATCTGTAGGCTCTATGTCTATTTCAATCTAAACAATTTGTGTAAATAATTAATCAACAACTTACAATTGTAGATCAAGATGTTAAAGCAAAAAATAATGTAATTTGACTCAGTTTAGCTACTTGAAACTTTTGTTTTTTATTCACAATATAATCTACTTTTGAGCAATTTAGTGATTTTATGATTTTTATTGTGATTACTTGCCTCTTTTCCTGTAAGGGTCTGAAACAAAATTGAAATTAGTAGTATTGTCAAACCGGCGTGTGAACTCGAAAAAAGTAGATCTAGGAAACAATTACCTTCACTTTTATCAACATTTTTTAGCTGTCAAGAATTAAATTATTGCAGTACTATCACCGGTTAAAACTTGTCGTTATTGCAGGAAAGTCAGATACCCGAAAATTCAAACGGCAAAGTATCAGACTGCTGTACGACGACCTAACCTAATTCCTAATTTGTAATTGTAGTCTGTGTCGCCATCTGGCGATTAATATTATGGTACGTATGGGCTGCGTTCCGTTTCACGCATATACGCGCATTTATCTATAGTACACGTCACGTATAGTATAGATAAGTGCGTGCATACGCGTGAAACGGAACACAGCTATGGTCAGTACAAATGCCTTTATACCATGTGTAATTGAAATAAACCTCGTATATGTATCATTTTATATATATGAGTTTTCTTTCCAATTTTTCTCATTATTTTTTTTTCATCTGTTTCAGTGACATGAATAATATATTTTGACTTTCGGGATTATACAACGTAACTTGAGGCATGTTGATCTTTATTACAAGTCGCGTACATACAACATGTTTATATCTTGCAATTTGTTACAATCACAAGTTATAACAGAGAGAAGAATGAGAGCGGCCATGGGGTCGATTCTGTATCACGCAGTGTAGTGAAAATTACAAAAGTGAGCGAATTTACTAAAATATCTATGATCTTATTGGTTAACAACTAGTAAATTTGTTCACTTTTGTAATTTTCACTACATGGATACACAATCGACCCCTAAGGCCCATAAGAGTTTTTACGATCGCTTTTCGACGTGGTTCTATTCCGTACTATGAAAACACTGACGTGGTAGGGATACGTACACAAGCGAGAACCGCCGTCATACATTACATAATATGTCTACATACGAACGGCGGTTCTCGCTGTGTGCGTATACCCACCACGTCGATGATCTCATAGCACGGAATAGAACCATGTTCACGAAAAGCAATCGTAAAAACCCTTATGGGCCTGGCCGCTCTCATTCTTCTCTCTGGTTATAACTTTCCCGCGCTAAAAAATTTGAAATATATTACCAGCTGCACCATCTTTTTGGCGACAGCGATGGAAGCGAAAATGTATGACGTTTTGTGATGTCATATCTACTGTTTGAAATGTAAAACGCTTGATTGACCGCGTTCTAAAAAAAACACTACAAAGCATCGACAGTTGTACCTCTAGTTAAAGACGGAAATACACAAAATACAAACTTTTTTTGGACTTTCTCCATTGAAAGTCGCACTAGTGCAAGCTACCGAATTTGCTGAAATTCTTCTCGCTCTCAAATTTTTCTCTGTAATAAACCCGTTTTTTTTTTTTCATCAATAGAGGGCGCTACTATCGCGCGCCTTGCGCCTCGTGCAAACGTACGGCGTTTATAGTTGGCGGGTCAATCGATTTCTCATTCGCTGTTGTCGCGTATGTGACAACAGCGACAAGTGCGTTCGGACGTGGTTTGAACCCGAAAGTGGATCACAACGAGAATTCGTGTAGAGTTGTGCGTCGCGTAACGCTTTGACACGTCGTGTGCTCGGATTTTTCGTTAATGGGGAGAACATGTTACAATTGTAGCGCGCGTGTATTACACACGAAGCGTGTCAAGGTACGTTGAAAAAAATCTGCGTATATAGGGATTAAACTCGTCCTAGATATTCGTCTTGAAGTACATACGTACCGAAGTACGAAGCGCGAAAAACCGGTGAATCACGAAGTTGTCGCCGCGGCAAAGGTATGTGTTATATATATATAATTTTTTTGCTTGTGCTTGAAAGCACGATTTTCGATGTTATCCGCGAACATCGTCGAGCTGCCAAGCATATATACACGCGACTGTGTTATTGATTTTTATACTTTGTGCAAGAAATATACGCGTATAATCGCGTAACTCTCCCGTATATTATTTTTTTTATTATACATATATATGTTGCGATATATACACCGCCTATCCCGCGACATGCGTGGTTTGCGTCTAGTAGTTATCCAGGTTTCTTTAATTAGTTTTTGCTTTTTATCGGCTACACGTAGTTTCTAGAAACATTTGAACACTTGCCGCTTTGACGAAAACGGAAATCCTATCAACGCTTATCACGGTTTTAAATAATTCGTACGTATTCTACATATCTTGCCAAGATATTTATTTTTTCTTTCATACTTCGCGTATTTAGTAAGAGAATAATAAGTACTAAATTAAGAAAAGAAGTTTAGAACGGATTCTAACTGATTGTAGAAGAGAGTCGTCGTTTAAAAATTGAGTAATGTTTACAAAATACACTTCACATTGTGCTCCTTGTACCTATCTGCGATTTGAGAAATCGGTTCGAATCCTTGGACTAGTATTTTCACTTATTGCGGAAGTGAACAATCGGTGTTGATCGATCGATCGTATTTGTGATATAATTGGAAAATGAACTGTTGTTTTTATACAAAAGTGCTTCAATCATCAATGCTTTTCTTATACCCCAAAAAACGAAAACAAACTAACACAATTATGTAGCATCAAATATACTTTACCGTTTAATATTTTGATACATATTGTTTGTGAATTTTTTGTAATATTTCCAATCTTTTTTATTATAATTGTGATTTTCGCAATTTTATGTTACGTAATTTTACTTTTTTATTATTCCAAGTTTTTATATATCGAATCTCTTTAATTTGTAATGTTCTGCCGTTTCTCACTTGTGTTGCGTGTTTTTTTTTTTTTTTTT